CCAAAGCTCCCCGACCGAAAAGCAATGTCCGCGGCTCCGTGGTCCGATTGACCGTTCGTTTAATGGTTCCTGTTCTGCGCGATGCATGCACACAGGGTATCGCCGAAGGAAATAGTGGAGGCCGGGCCGTGGAGAAGGGAATCGATTGAGCGGAATAAGGCGGTTTCGCCGGCGACGTCGCCCACGGATCCACTCGAGCCATGGAGCACACGCGGCATTAAGGACATGAACACGATATTGGCCTGGGAGGAGAACGCGCCGGACAGTCCTTAACGAAACTTTACGATATTATGCGCCGTGTACCTCCTGCTACCCGTCCAACCGGCAAAACGACACGTTGTTTTTGCCGACCTCCTTCGAGGGAGCCCCTTGCAACGACCGACCCTAGGCTACCGCCAACTTGCCCGAGATATTCTGGTCAGCTTCGAGATTCGTGGGTGTAACGTGTTCCTCGGAAAGACACGCGGATACTACACGAGCTTGCGTGAGAGGATTGAAGAAGAGGGAGGGTATAGTCGGTGAAAGAAATACAGCGAGCTCGTAACATTCGAGTTGGGAGTTTAGGTAAACATGTTTCGAGTGTTTTAACATCAAACAATCGCGATACGGTGTCGTCGAGATAACTCTGAAGGTTGTTTCAACGTACTTTATTTGCAATAATGTTGGTACGGAGTGACGTGGTGATTTCTTGGATTCTGAAACTTCAACTAATCCTTCCTTGTTTGGGCCCAGTATTTACATAGGTCCCTGTGGAATGCGAGTGGGGTAAGGAAATTAAGGGAAGGTGTCCTAATGAATCGGACGAATTTTGATGGAGATGTGTTTTGGTCAGGTCAAGGGAAACCTATTCGCGTACCACAGGTTGGGTGGCGCCTACCGCGACAACGGAAAGTGTAGGCCCTGCATCGTACCTTTGTCCTGTGCGGTTCGTTTTTTTCATTGAACCTTCGCTATCTGCTAATTGTAAGCTATTTTCGTTATTCTTCCACTATTTTCATCGTAACAGGCTCTAGTCGAGCCTTTGTAGGGTACAGTCGGGGCCACGATATAGCGAGGTCGTAAATTAAACGATGTTGCGGCACTCAAGGCCGTTACAGTCTGAAGGTTCCAACAGTAAATGAATGGTAGCATATGATTTGGCATTTCAAGTAGAAAATGGTATTTCGTTTGCAAATGGAAAATATGTTAATACCAGTTACTATCTGAAATACTTGTAATTTCTTTCTGTGTCCGCAGCTGCACAACCTTTTTGCATTTTCTATCTGTATACAACACTCGTAGGTAAATTAAGATGCTAAAGATCTCAATAAGACCTACACCTGTAAAAACCCTAATTTGTCCTAGCTGCACGCAGTTTTCAGTAAATACATTGTAGTATCGGGGCCTCCGTACTCAAACAGGACACTGACCAGGAAAAATAGAGAGGGAGTTGTTGGCGTAGCGCGCAAAGCCTCGGCTTGCTAATCCGAAGGTCCCGGGTTCGATTCCCGTTTGGGTCCCTCAAAATTTTTCCGTCGTTTCCTACAATATTAGAATCAGTTTGACTTTCGCTGAATACAAGAATCCTCTCTACGGTCCTGATCATGGTTTCAAGTACTTACCTGCTCGTATTTCGGCAGCTGAATCATGCTTACTTAGACGCCTGACCGATTTTACGACCTCGCTATATCGTGGTCCGACTATAAGATAACAGAATACATCGAAACAACGAGAAATTTGTCTCGTACCGCCCAATAAGAAGGTCCAGTACGGAGTACCATTGAAATGTCTACGGGACACACTCGTCAAATAGGAAAGTCCTTCCTAGCGAACGTGTTAACAAGGGAATTGAGAGAAATATGAGGAGACGAGGACTTGTACTGTCTCGGTCAGGTCTGTATTATGTATGATGTTTGCGAAGTCGTGGTGCAATTAGAAGTAAAGGGGTTCTTCAGGTATTATGCAGAGCTGGACAGATTTCTCGTGAAAGGAACGAAAGTCTGATTGGGTCACATCCCCATAGGCTCAACTTCTCTGACATAATCATAGAAATAGAGCAAACTTAGTGTCATTATTGGTCGACGCGATAACATCGACGAGTCGGATCATCTAAAATTGCGCGACGTGAGATTTAGGCGGCGCGAGTGAAGTATTCCTCTGAGTCCTGTGCCATTTCGCTGGCCATCTTCTCATCTCTGCATAGAAAAATAAGTAGAAAATGTAGAATACAACTTTTTCACACGAGGCTTCGTTTTTGAGAAAATTTGATGTGAAGATTTGTTCACGTTTTTTATTTGTGGATCTTCGATCTCGGTGCACTGGACTTTCGTAAAATTCCTTGCATCAGTCCACGGTACCCTGATTCAAAGAGCAAGGATATTTAAGCCACTTTCATTATTTATCGTCACATTGGAATATTCGAAAATTCGAACTGAATTTTTTCGTGAAAAATGGAAACCCACGTGAAGAAATTTTATTCCGTATTTTCCACTTATTTTTGCACGAGAAATCACCCTCGTTACGATTGCACCACGATTTCGGAATCACACGAGACAAAAATAATTTTCTTTCTTTTTTAAATATAAGCTAACGCTATCAAAAAATTCTTATATCTCCTGATAAATTGTCTAGACTTTCGCGTGTCAAGAGCACTAATCTAAAATCGACGCTACTTGTATTTTCGTCCGAATGTAAAGGATTCACAGGAAGCACAACTGTTGAGTATGTTTCATACGACAGTTTTCATAGAGGTATTATGTAATAAAGTAACCAATATTGATTCTCGGATTAACGAATGATTTAAAGCACAAAATTTATGAAATGAGAATAAGCGAGACATTTTGTTTGTATAGCTGTTCAAACGAATGTTCATCACGTGGTGCATTTGCTTTGTTTGAAAATGCCGCCGCACCTAATAATATCGCGAAAAACATTGAAACGTGTATGAGTCTGATAGTGATTGTATGTTTATAAATGATAAGAATTTAATGAAATAAAAATTGTCGCGTGCCAAAATAAGAAATATTAAAGCTCGTTCGTACGTGTAAACGCAAGGAATGGTGAATTTACACTAATCGCTGCTTCAACTCCGATTATTCAACTTACACTACGAATAATAACTGATAAATTGAATACGAAAAATTAGTTTGTCGTTAACTTGAATAATTCGCACAGTTAATTCTTCGTTGAGCTACTTTCTGGTTGGTTAAAATTTCAAATACGAGAAACGATTGTCGCGGGAGGAAGTATTTCAAAATGATAATTCTATATAATTTTCTCGCCGTTGCTAAATTCTTTAGAGCCACTTTAAAACAAGCTGTATATAACTCGCTGGGAAAGATACAGGTACTGTGAGCAATTTTTCTATTCCCCCGCGTACATAGATTCCAAATATAAATTCACTTTGTAAGAAATATACGCCGAGAACAGGGAAATTTATGTTTTCATTTTTTCGGCGCAGGAGCGAGGAAAATTGAGCAATTTCTCACGTAACAATCATTTATGAATATTAAGCGAACGTTCGACTGGCAAATTTATCTCGCGTCTATTTGGAACATCTCGTTGAAATTGTAACTTTCATCCTAATCCTTTCGAACACTAATTCATCTTAAAGCTGTTTTATTTCTATTATTATCAACGCAGACCTAGATTATCGACATTTCTTCATTTTCAATTTTCCAAGTTTCCCTTTTCGTTTCACTTCAATCACCACTTTCACATTAACTTCGAGCATTGAAATACTTATTGTAACTCTCCTGCCGCGCTTCATCACTCGCAGAAGAGAAAGAAGTATTACACTTTGCAAGTTACTCTGCAAATATTTCACTTCGAAATTACAAATTTTCCAATGCGTTAACTTGTTCGTGCGATGATCAAAGCGTGTTCTGCCCTTTGTAACAATGAGAGAAAAATATGCGAAAGCGTGCAATTTGCGCATAAAATTGCGCAATTTTACCTGGAACATCGGTCGTCAACGTCGCGGAGAAGACAAAGTTTGTATTGTTCAAGTAAAAAGAAGCGTAAGAATTTGAATTTTTGGGTCGAGTTTTTTTCCAGATTTCAACTCGATATTTTTCATTCGACCATACTCCACAAGGACAACTGTTAATCCTACGAGGTCTTGAATATTGATGTTTGTCTTGTGCTTGGTAGATATTTCAGGAATTTTGGTACGCGTTTGACCCTTCGTTCCCGGCATTCACCTGGATGTGCCACATTCAAGCGTTGAAACTGTCAGGGGAGCAATGTTGTAATACAACTGAGGACTGATAAGACATTGCAGCAAACTTTCAAAATTGTCCAGTTTTCATTTTACACCGTAGATACGCGGAGAAAATTGTGCGTCGATTTTAATTTTAATTCTTCGTTCAATTTCTAGAATTCTTCCACATTATGCAATTTTTCTACATAACAGAAAACAGAACTTTTATTCATACGACTGAAACTATTACTACTTCGCCAAATATGTTTCAGTTAAACTCGATGAGATTTACTGCAATTACTTCAACGTTAATTAACCAAACCACCAATTTAATCTACGAGAATTCAACAATTATAACGTAAACTAAATGAGATCTTCTACTATTACCTACTGCTGGAAGCATAATCACAGCATTTTTTAAATATTCGTTCATAAAACTATCAATCAAGGCGACAAGATTTTCCAATTTTAATTCTCTGTCACACACACGTGGAAAAAATTCTGCATTCATTTTAACCAGAATCGTTCGTTTATTCGTCGATTTCTAACTTCAGAAAAATATGGTAATTTAACTGTTTCTTCAATTTACAATACTTTTTACCGATATTTTCTGTGAAATGGTTTTTTAAATATTCGGAAAATTCTCACTCGCGAAATCTCTCTTATTTAGATGTTAAATTCGCAAAATAACTAAACGAAAGTATTATAATTTCGCACCAATTTCGAATACAAATTTCACGCCGGTTTAAGAGTGCGCGTAGAATATGCAAAATATAAATCAGCGTGCGATAATTACATTTTTCACGGTAGACGAAGTTTTTGATTCGTGCATTCACAGCCAGTTAATTACCGATATTTCCGTCGTGAAAAACAATGCTTAACAATTATAGAAAAATCGAAGTTTCTGCACGGCGTATTTGTTAGCTGAAATTTTTACCAGGGACCAAATGATCCTTGCGTGATATACTGCCGCCGGAGTAAAACAATGTAGGAAGAGAATTAGAGTAGAAGCCACGGGATTTTAATTGTTCGGGAGCGCTTTTCAGCATATTTGCAGTACTAAGTCCGGACCTCTCTTAACTACTTAATTTGG